CTCAACCTTAGTTGCCTCGATACGCCCGTTTTGAAACGCAACACGTCCCGTGTTCAAGACGTCCGTGTCAATACGTTGCGTGTTGGCTCCACGTATTGGACCACGTTTTGGCGAATCTATCGCGTCGGACCTACGTTTTCAGCCTACGTGTTGAGCTCCGTATCAATACGATACGTGTTGCATGTCGCGTATCGGAGCAGCTAAGTCTTCAACCCTCATCATTATCTTCCTCCTCCTCCTCCTCTCCTCCTCCTCCTCCTCTTCGTCCTCTCCTCCTCCTCCTGCCTCATCCTCCTCCTCCGCCTCCTCCTCCTGCCCCTTCCTCCTCCTTTCCTCCCCCCCTCCACAATCATCCGCAATCCTGCCTTTCCTCCTCCCTCCTGCCACTGCTGCAACGTGAGGGGGGGACAGGGTCAGGGGCAGCATTAGGGGGGATAGGTTGAGGGGGGATCGCATCGACCCCGAAGCGCCGATTGTGAGGGTTCAAAAACCATGTTTCCGATACCCGAGGCGCGATCCGTGTAAGCGTTGTGCCAACATTGGTTAGTTTGTCGGTCGGTCGGTCGGTTGACGGGTTGGTTGCTTGGCAGGTTAGCCAACGGTTTAGTTGGTTGATTGATTGATTGGTTGGTTGGTTGGTTGGTTGCTCTGTTGGTTGGTTGGTTGTTTGGTCGGTTGTTGTGTTGGTTGGTCGGTTGGTCGGTTGCTCTGTTGGCTGGTTTGGTGGCAAGTTGTTTGGTTGGTTGGTTGGTTTATTGGTTGATTGGTCGGGTTGGCTTGCTGGTTTGGTGGTTGGTGGGTTGGCCGGTAGGTCAGTTGGCCAGTTGGCCGATGGGCTTGCTGGTTGGTTGGCAAAATTGGTTGGTTGCCCAGTTGGGCGGGTGGTTGATTGGTTGGTCGGTCGGTCGTTTGGTTGGTCGTTTGGCTGGTCGGTTGGTTGGTTGGTTGGCTGATTGGTTGGTTCGTTGGTTGGCTGGTTCGTTCGTTGGTCGGCCGGGTTGCCCGCTTGACCAGGTGGGTCGTCGGCGTTCGAGGGGCTGGACGAGTTAGCGGGCTGGAGAGATTTACCAGCCTGGAACATATTCCTATCCCTATGCTGGGCATCTCCTCATCACGATGCCAATCTTAGGGATTCCCTTAGTTTCTGAGGGCGCATCCCTAAGATTGTCATCGCCTTTTGGCGTGCCAATCTTAGGGATAGGGATAAGTTAGCGGGCTGGTAAGAGATGAAGCGGTGCTGGGTCGCATGGTTGAGAAGGCCGTGGCGGGCCGACGCTCGAGGGTCTGAGCGCTCCGGGTGTGACGTCCCCTCCGAGCTGCTCTCAAGGCCTTCGGCGACGCTCCGGGCGATGTGGCCGCGAGGATCACTAGGACAATGACGACAATGACGATGATGATGGTCGGTGATGATGTTGATGGTGATGGTGGCAGAAAAACGGTGTTGATTGAAGGCAGTGTGTCAGATGGTGGCGATGGTGATTATGGTGGTGAGGATGATGATGACAATGATGATGGTGGTGACGACGATGACCACGACTATGATGATGATCATGATGATGATGATGATGATGATGATGATGATGATGATGATGATGCTGATGCTGATGCTGCTGATGCTGCTGATGCTGCTGATGATGATGATGATGATGGTGATGGTGATGGTGATGGTGATGGTGATGGTGATGATGGTGATGGTGATGGTGATGGTAATGGTGATGGTAATGGTGATGGTGATGATGATGCTGTTGATGATGCTTACGATGGCTATGAGGAAACTGATGCGGATGATCAGGGGCATTCAGATTAGGACGACGGGCAATTCCGACTCTCGACGGGGCTACAAGGACATGTTCGAAAGTGCGCCCCGGCGGGGCTACTAGCACAGCTACTTTGTACTTGTCCGGCCGCAGGGGCCCGGGCGTGCTACTAGGGCTACCTTGCTAGGCCTACTCGCACGACCGGCGGAGGAAGCCCCCGCCCGAGACATCCTCGAAAGTCCGCGCCGGCGGGGCCGCGAGTACGGCTACGATTTTCTTATTGGCACGGGCTTTTGAAACTTTGCCGGGCATATTAGTAGGGCTACTTTAGCCAGGGCCAGAAAATGCTCAATGCAATGCAACGCAACGCAATGCAATGCAACGCATCGCAGCGCAATGCAATACAATGCGACGCAGTGCAGCGCAAGGCACTGTAACGCATTGTGCGCCTCGTCGCGTGTCAGCGCCGCGGGGGCACAAGAAAAAATAATCCCGCCCCACTCGTCACATGGCCATGCCTGGGCTGGCGCAAAAATAGAATTCCACTCTACCCGTCACGTGGCAGCGCCGCGGTGTCCGAAGACAAATACGATTCCTTTCGACTCGCCCTGTACAGATTGCAGAGGACTCTGGAGTACCTGATGGCACTCAAAATCGTGCCGTGATACACGATGGCGGAGAATGTCACGACGACGACAATGACGACGACGATGACGATGGGAAGGGCCAGAGGAGCGAACAACATTATAATCATTTCTCCTTATCGTCCTTCTCCCTTCCCCCTCCTCCATCCTCCCTCCTCCTTCTGCCCTCCCGCCTCCTCCTTTCTCACTCCTTCTGCTCCCTCGCCCTCCCCTCCCCCCCGCCCGCAACCCAGTGCTACACACAGTGCTACAAATGCAGATAAATCCAACGCAATGCAATGCAGCACAATGCGGTGCAATGCAACGCGCTCCAACGCAATGCAACGCAACGCAATGCAACACAACAGGATGCAACGAAGTACGACTCATCGCAGCACAACGCAATGATCTGCCACGCAAAGTCACGCAATGCAGTGCACTGCCATGCCTCCTCCATTCTCCCTCCTCCCCCTCTTCCTCTGCTGGATAAAATGTTCGAACCCCCGCCGCCCAGGTCTGCCCCCCCCCTTCCCCGGGCTGGACAATTTTTCTAAACCCCAACGCCCGGGCCCCGAGACGGCGTCGATCGCCCAACGTTTGCACACAACTCACACGGATTGTGCCTTCAAGGCTGGAAGGGATTGAACCTTCAGGGATACATGTTTTGAACCGTCCATAATTTGTTGATGCATCTCTCAAGATCGGAGGGGAGTCAGGGAGTGTCCATAATCCGTCAGGGGGTGTCAGCGCAAGATCGCTCTGACGCCTCGGTGTTCAGGCCCGCCAACTCAGTTCGTCGGATCCTCTTGTTTCCCCCCCCCGCGCTCTCGCGCTCCTCCAGTCAAATTACCCCGACGGAAGGACCCCACATGAGAATAGGTTTTGCTTGCCCTTATCCTTTTCCTCCTGGCCCTGGCGGACACTCTCCTCTCGCCCGCCCTTCTGCCATCACCTACTCCCCCTCCTTATATGTATCCTCCTTCTCCTCCTCCTCCACTTCCTCCTCCCCATCACCCCCTCCCTACGTGGGTAGGTGGGATGATGATGAGTGGTGATGAGTGCGATGGTGATGATGATGATGATGATGATGATGATGATGATGATGATGATGATGATGATGATGATGATGATGGTGGTGGTGGTGGTGGTAATGATGATGATGATGATGATGATGATGATGATGATGATGCTGATGCTGATGATGATGATGATGATGATGATGATGATGATGATGATAATGATGAGAGGGAGATTGAGAGAGGGAGGGGGAGGAGGAGAGATCCTGCGCGGAGGGTGTGCAGAGAAAACAAGAACCACACTTAGGATGTGGGGAAAAACCTCCTCCTCCTCCTCCTCCTCCTCTTCCTCCTCCTCCATATCCTCCTCCTCATTGTCCTCCTCCTCCTCCTCCTCCTCCTCCTCCTCCTTATCCTACTCCTCATCCTCCTCATCATCTTCCTCCTCCTCTTCCTCATCATCAGCAGCATCATCATCATCAGCAGCATCATCAGCATCGTCAGCATCATCATCATCATCAGCATCATCATCATCATCATCATGATCATGAGCATCATCATCATCAGCATCATCAGCATCAGCATCAGCATCATCATTTTCATCATCATGTTCATCATCATCATCATCATCATCATCATCATCATCATCATCATCATCATCATCATCATCATCATCATCATCATCATCATCATGTTTCCTCCATCTTCCCCTCCTCCCTCCCTCCTCCCTCCCTCCCTCCCACCCTCCCTCCCTCCCGCCTCCCTGGTCCCCTCCTCCTCCTCCTCCCCCTCCTTTTCCTCCTCCTCCTCCTCTTCCTCCTTCTCCTACTCCTACTCCTCCTCCTCCTCCTCTTCTTCCTCCTCCTCCTCCTCTTCCTCATCATCAGCAGCATCATCATCATCAGCAGCATCATCAGCATCATCATTATCAGCATCATTATCATCATCACCACCATCATCATCATCAGCAGCAGCATCATCATCATCGTCATCATCATCAGCAGCATCATCATAATCATCATCATCATCATCATCATCATCATCATCATCATCATCATCATCATCATCATCATCATCATCAACTCATCATCATCATCATCATTCCTTCTTCTCCCTCCCCTCCTCCCTCCCCTCCTCCTCCCTCCCTCCCCTCCTCCCTCCCTGGTCCCCTCTTCCTCCCCCTCCTCCTCTTCCTCCTCCTCCCTCCTCGTCCTCCTCCTCCTCCTCCTTTTCCTCCTCCTCCTCCTCCTCCTCCGTCTCCTCCTCCTCCTCCTTCTATACCCCTCCCCCCTTTCCTACTCCCCCTCCTCCCCCTCCTCCTCCCTCTCCTTCCTCATTCATCATCCATCATGTCATCATCATCATCATCATCATCAGCATCATCATCATCATTATTCATCATCATATCATTATCATCATCATCATCATCATCATCTTCATCATCATCATCATTCATCATCATCATATCATTCATCTTTTTCCCTCCCTCCCCTCCTCCCTCCCTGCCTCCCTCCTCCCTCACTCCCTCCCTCCCTCCCCGTACCTCCCCCTCCTTGGTCCCATCCTTCTCCTCCCCCCTCCCCACTCGCCTCCTCCGCCCACAGGCTCACGGCCGCCGACGAGGTCGCCGCCCCGGCGGTGCTGCGCGGCGCCCACGGCGCCGCTGCGGCAGGATCCCGGGCCCCCTTTCTGAAGCCGCGGGGCATCGAAGGGGCGGGCGAGGATCAAGGGCGTCGAAGCCCTTCCTCCCTCCTCCCTCCCTCCCTCCCTCCCTGCCCCTCCTCCTCCTCCTACTCCTCCTCCTCATCATCATCATCCTCATCCTCATCCTCATCCTCCAATCCTTCTCCTTATAGATAATTCCTCCTTGTCGCACCCCGAGGCCAATTTCTAGGGCGGGCTGGGCGTTTCGCTTGAGACTTCCTCACCAGCCATGATTCTGAAGCTCAAGAAACGCATAGCAGCTTCACAGATGGAGGGCGGGTCGCTTTCAAAATGTGGCTCTCGCCTTTGCGCCGCGCGCATTCGTTTGAAAGATGTGCAAGAGTTTTACGGATTGAGGGCGGGAGGTTCTCAACATTTGGTTCTCGTTTTACACTGCGCACATTCGTTTCAAAAGTTGGAAAGTTTTTCACGGATTGAGGGCGGGTGTTTCTAAAAATGTGGTTCTCGTCTTACACCGCGCACATTCGTTTCACACATTTGCAAGAGCTTCACGGATTGGGGGCGGGTGGATTTCAAAATGTGGTTCTCGCATTAGTGCCGCGCAAATTCGTTTGAAACATGTGCAAGAGTTTCACAGATTGGGGGCGGGTGGTTTCCAAAATGTTGTTCTCGCCGTAGCGCCGCGCACATTCGTCGTAAACATTTGCAAGAGTTCAACGGATTGAATGCGGGTGGTTTTCAAAAATGTGGTTATCGCTCTGGCGCCGCGCACATTTGCTTTAAACATGCGCAAGGGTTTCACGGATTGCGGGCGGCTCCTCCTCAAAATGTTGTTTGCTTTAGTGTTGCGCACATTCGTTTTTTATAACAAAAAATGCAGGGTTGTACGGATTCCCATGACCAACGCACCAGACATTGTATTTTGGCAGGGTTTTGGATTATGCGGGCGCAGTAAATATGTCGATTCGCTCCGTTGAAGTCCAAAAAAAGGCGTTCTGACACGACTATGGATCGCCAAGACGCAGCAGTCAAGTTGATACGTTGCGTTGACATCCCGAGAGCAATGTTTTGGCACGCCTCAGGATGTTCAATATGCTGTCTTCCAACGAGGCAGTTCCCCCAATGGAAATGAACCGTTGAAGGGGCCTATGAAGAGGGAGCTTGGAGGGAGGGTTAAGTCCAACATCTTTGATGACTGTTGGGTTTCCACTGGTCCTCCTCCTCCTCCTCTTCCTCCTGCTCCTGCTCCTCCTCCTCCTCCTCCTCCTCCTCCTCCTCCTCCTCCTGAAGCCGCGGGCATCCAAGGGGCGGGCGAGGATCGGGATTTAAGTCGGGCATGTCCCTCTACAGGAGGAATATTTCAAATAGTAGAAACATAGTCCAGGGACGATTGCTTGATTATTTCTGACTCTTTAAGACTAGTTTCTGTGCTTTTGTTTCATGTGTTGCCCAACACCCGGCTGTAGGCGGACATGCCCGACCTAAGATCAGGGGGGAAGGGGCGCCAAGTCAAGGCTTGAAGTTTGCAAGCTTTTTCGCCACGCCTCGGCAGCTTTCCAGCCTCGGGATGCCCGCTGGCAGCTGCGCCTCGCCGACGGCGTTCCAGAGGTGCCCGAATCGTCCCGAGCGGCCTCCGGAGACCCGAGCTGTGACCCGAATTCCAGGCGGAGCAGAGCCATCGGGGGCGTCCAAGAACAAGGGCGCCCTCGAGGGCGCGAAATCATTCACGTTTCGCGCTCCGCTGTTCGGCGCCAGCCTCCTCTTCTACCCTGGGGGGCGGCGCGAGAGCGTGAAGTTGTTCGCGCGTCGCGCAGCACGAAGCGCGAAGTCGGGCGGCCCTGAAGAGTGGGTGGGGACCAGGGATGGGAGATCATGGCCGAGAGCATGACGCCTCCCAAATGTCGGGAGCCTTGAGACGGGGGTCAATGCAAACGGGGGTCAGCCAGGGCGCCGGATCCTGCAGGATCCTGCGAAGACCCCCTCTGGCTGACCCCGGTTAGCGAGCCGCTCGTGGCCGCGAGGCGGCCGCGCACATTGGCTGACCCGGGTTTGCGAAGACCTGCGTTGCAGTTTTTGTTTGTCTTGCATTTCAGTTTTTGGTTTCTTGTTGACCCGGGTCTGGATTGACCCGGGTCAGAAGATCCCCGAAAATGCAATGTTAAGTCGGGCAGGTCCCATTACAAGAAACATGTTAAAGAGTAGTAAAAAAAGTGGTGACATGCGTTCGTGCTCTTTTGGCTATGCGTGATTACTGCTTGACTGCATAGTATGTGTTCCGTCCCTCCCTTGGGTGGGTTCTTGTTTTGTATAGAACAGTGGGGTCTTCACCTTCTCCTCCTCATCCTCCTCCTCCTCGCCCCCGCGCTCTCTTCTCGGCTCTCTCCTCTCGCATCTCCCCTGGGGGCTGCGAAATGTGAAATTGCCTACTTTTTCGAGGGCCGCTGGGGGAGCCAGCACAGTGGGGCCACACTCAGATCCAAACGGGACCTCGCCATCCCTGGGGGGCT